CCTAGTACCCTTGTGATCACAGAGACTTTCAATGGCGCTGTCCATAGTTCGTGTTTTCGAACATCCTCGCATTGTAGAAAACAGGGCCCTGGAAGTTACTCATGTTGGTCGTCATCTTGATCGTGAGGAATATTTACCGGTAGGGGGTATCCGTTGCCACTGTTATGGACGTCAATCTTATAACAGTCTGCGGTTATTACTCTACGGTGAAAACTGATCGTCATGCTTTCCGCTACTAGGTCACATTTTGACCGAAGTAGGCTCAACACATTTTGACCGAACTAGGCTCAACACAAAATAATCAAATGATGGCCTGCAGTCTGTGGGTAAGAAAACTGGGTTCCCTTGCCTACAATAACTGTAAGTCGTACATCTGATTGGCGCGACGGCAATCCTCTAACTTACCGTTTAAAAACACTGGAATCTCACCATAGAAAATAGTTTTCGAACGTTAAACCAAGTGGTGGTACTCTTTGCTTGGCCCACGACATCTAATAGCATATAAAATTGCACGAATACGAGGTAAAATTGATTACAGTTTAAATTTATAAATATCTTTCCTGAAAAATTTACCTTGACACGTACTCTAAATTAAAATGAACATTTTCTGGAATGTGCAAGGCCGACGTTTTCTGCGTTACTTAATTATCAAGTAGATTCCCATCATCGCGTTTATAAGTTAATTTGTGGAGTAACCTTAATTGTAATGTGACTCCACAAAGAGGCTGTCCTAACTGTTGTATAACAGTTACTGAGTTTACCGTTACCTGGTCCGGCGCTTAGTATATATACTATTTAATGGGGTCCAGGGACTCGGCAGCGGCCCGATTATCTGACCTTCCGAATTTGCATAGGTTTGTCAACCACCGTAACTTCCTCAAAACGCTTGTTCGAGAGCCTGATGAAATTGTATGGCCTGTCGATCTCGCTCAACATTACACTGACAGCGAAAACCAGAGGGATCAACACATTATAGAACTTTTTGAACATCCGCTCAAAAACCACTTAAAGTGTCATGGGAATGTCCAGGTCTGGCAGCTAGGATCATAAACCCTCTGTCGTTCTCCAACAGAACACTCCGCTTAGCTCGGGGAGCAGCCAATGTATAATGACGCAGTTTTGGTGGTGTGGCAGGTTTGATTACTTAGTCAAACTCAATTTTAAAAAAATCGGCGGACTCTGTGGACTTCCAGCCCACAATGGCAAGGGTAGCGTTTGCGTATAGCCATCGCAGGGCCACCATTGTTATCTTCGTGTCTGACTATGTAGACTATCTCCAAATCTGTTGGCTTCAGTTAGGAGACAGGCAACCTAATCGACTTGATGCGTCCTCGTGTGTTGCAGTAGAAGGTAGGAATCATCAACATTTATCAACCTATGTGCGGTTGCGCCCACACATTGCCCTAACTGGTGAGAGAAATGCAGTAACGTTTAAACAGAACAGGGGGGCTTCCTCTAGGGTCTTTTCCGAGTAATAGGATTCCACCAGCTCTTTTGTCAAATACAGAAGACTCGAAAAGCC